TGCCAGTTCTGACGTCTCATTGATTCCTTTTTGTATCTATTTTGTGTCCATGTGTTCTTTTGTGTAGAAATTCTCCTGTTTGCCCCAGGTATAGTGCAGAGAGACACTGCTGACAGAGGACAGCATATATTGCATTAGAAGATATGCAATTAAACAGAGCTCTGGTGTTATGGATTTATAGCATTAGGTCCCATAATTGTGTTACCATGGTAGATGCAGGGACAGAATTAGCTCTGAATTTGCACTAAAGTATTGTCCCTTTGTTGTATGGCAGACCTGGGCAAAGTCCGGCCCGAGGGCCACATACGGCCCGTGAGCCACTCCTGTCCGGCCCACGGACAGTTTTGAACATCCAAACCATTTATAGCTTTTTGTCTAAAGTTGATCAGTTGCTTATCTTTAATATGCTGCAAAAAAACCTCTTTAGTATTTGTGAAGATTAACAAGTTTAAAATAAAAACTATCATAACATCACTGTTTCATTTTATTTTTAAGTAAAGTTGGTTCGGCCCCCAAAGTTCAGATTTTTCATGTGGCCCCCCCTATAGAAATTAATTGCCCACCCCTGTTGTATGGTCTGTTGTTCATAGTTATGTCAGATTGAGAGGTTGCCTGTAAATCAGTACAAGCCTACCACTCCAGGAGTGTGAGAGGAAAGTATCATTCTCCAGAATAGGTTATAAATGAAAAATGAGAAATGTACTAAAATCCACAACATGCAGTAAATTGAATTAAAATACATAAATATACAGTGGTGCCTCGCTTAACGAGCGCCTCGCTGAGCGATGAAATCGCTTAACGAGGCGCTCTGGGCCATCGCTGGAGCATTCGCTCAGTTATGGCCCCTATGGGGATTTTTCGCTTAGCGAATATCGCATAACGAAGCGGGGGAGAACAGCTGATCGGCGGTTCCAAAATGGCCGCTGGAAGGTCCGCGCCGCATTTTCGCGCCCTGCCCTCGCTTACCGAGGGCGCGAAAATGGCGGCGCTATGGCAGAACTTCGCTTAACGGTGAGTTTTCAAGCCATAGGAACGCATTGAACAAAGTTCAATGCGTTTCTATGGCTTTTTAAATTCCGTTTAGCGATGTTTCACTATAGCGAAGGTTAATCCGGAACGGATTAACCCTCGCTATGCGAGGCACCACTGTACTAAGGTAACAGTGAGAGCTGTTGACAAAGGAATTGACTGCCTTGGACTCTTTTATAATGGTGATGTTAAAACAGAGTTTGGATGGCTTTACGGTCTGGATTTCCTGTGCTTGCAGGGGTCTCTTCCAGCTCTGGGATACTAAGTTCACTAGATAACCCCCCCCCCCAACATACACACAATAATATTAATATGCAGAGTAGGTTGTAGTTCACAGAGATGTTTTTGTGGTTTCAACTGATAGCTGTAGATGATAACTATGTTCTGTTTACTTTTATTTATTTTACTTTAAATTGCTTTTGGATTCTAAACTTATCTTGTCAGGGACCCTGCGTCTGTCAGTTTGTTGTCACTGTTGGGTGGTATTGGAAATGCTGATGGATCCTGGTGCAGCTGCATCTTTTCAGACTCTTAGGACAGAGATTCACACCTCACGGATTTGCAAAAAGCATTTACTGTGTTTTAATTACCCTAATTTCCCCCGGTTTCTCTCTCACAGAAAATACTGGGCTGGGAAAAGAATTGTGACTGGAATTTAACTCCCCAGCATGATTTTTTCTAAATGTACAGTACTAGGGGATTTCCTAAAAGCATTTGGCACTGCTAGAATCTTATCCCATCACTCTTCTAGCATATGGAATGCAAGGGAACACTCTAAATCAACAGCTTGCCATTTCCTGTGTAAAAAAATTATAAGGATCTGTTTTCCCTCCAGAAATCTGTACATCTAGGGCTTTGTTCCTGTGCAGTTACTTGGGAGCAAGCTAAATTGAAGTATGAGTGATTTACATTTCAGTAAGCTGAAGCGATACATAAATATTTCCCAAGAACTGACAGTGAAAAGGCACTGCTTTACAGTATATGCACAGTTTAAGACATAGTGTGATTTTCTTTTAACAAAAATAACTAAATTATATGAATCTTGCTTTTTGTCTGCCGAACTATGTAGCTTTTTGCAAGCCTTCCTATGCTGAAATATCAGTCAGGGTGGAAAACTGTAACAATACAAAGGGATCACATTTCTTGGTCAGAGTTTTGAAGAACTTTGAGCACAAAGACCTCTCTTTATGTTGGATTTGTTCACTGGGTTCTTTATCTAGCTATGGAAAGGCTGCAAGTGTGTGCATTTTGTCACAAACTACCCATGCTACTTTCAGAAAAAAACTGTAACTGAATCCAGAAGGACTTTTCCTACAAGTATGGGTATAGGAGATTACAGGACTCAGTAAGACACACTTCTAAATAAACAGACATAGGATCAGGCTGCATTCCTTCCTTAGGAATAAGCCAACAAAACTCAGTAGGAATTAGGTATGCATTCAATAGGAGTTTGGGAACCACTGCCATAGCTCAATGTTGGCAGATCACTACCCACATATCCAATGTGTCTTAACAGTTCCACAATTGCAAAGGAAGATGCGGAATGCATGTGGTAGGGAATGAGGTTGCCTGTGGACCTATCTTGAGAGCTGCAAAGCTCCTAGGAACAAGAGGTCTTTTAACTTTGACGCAAGAAACTTCACTAGTTTCACCCTTTAATGTTAGTGCCAGCTGCAAACCTTCTGGCCTGAATGCATACATGGAGGTCACTGGCAATCTTCCTTTTGACATTAAACATAAGCTTTCCCTCGCCTAGTGTCTTTCAGATGTTTTGAACTATGACTCTTGCCATCTTCAACCACTTACCATATAGGCTGGCACCAAAGGGGAAGTTTGACAACATGGGGAAGAGTATATGTTCTACACCCTTTCTTTAATGCTGAAACTCAATATATACTTCATAATAAGCTTTATTGAATTCAGGGGAACTTCCTACTCTTGCACAGGATTACACTGCTTGTGCTCAGAAAATGCTTGAACTTTGATGGCTCTACTTCTTTTTCTTATTCACTGAATCATTAGCCAGGATAAATTTTTAGAATGAGTATCTACATTTAAAAATCAATAGACAAGAATAAAGGGGAAATGTATTCCCATAAGCTTGTACGTTGCCTTTCCTTCAATGAATTCAAGGCAGTGCGCATGGCTTTCTCTCCACTTTATGCCCACAGAAACTATGTGAGATAGATCAGGATGAGAGTGTCTGACCCAAGGTCAAGAAATAAGCTTTATACTTGGTGGTGATCTGAACCAAGTTCCAGCCCTACACTCTTAACTACACAGCATCGCATTAAAGAAGCAATTGCCATTTTTAGTTTTTTTGAAAAAATCAACCTTCTCTTTGTTTCTGGTAAAAAACAAAACATAAAACAACTTTGAAGCTGATGAAGAATCCAACTGAAATAAATTTTGAGTCTGATAGGAAATACTGTAGTGAGTTTGATGTTCCTTTTGAGTTAGTGTTGATGCTATGCTATCCATTTGGACAATTCCCATGCATGACATATGGAAAATTGCACTAGCTATTTTCTTGATTAGGAAAAATGCATTTTGAGTTTTCTGTTTGATTCCTACTGTGTTTTCTGGGCAGTCAGCTTGTATGGCCTTGGGCAAGCTGAAGGGTTCTAGTTCATCTCCAGAAGAAGGGACTGGTAAACCACTTTGCCTATTCTATATCTAGGAAACCTTGCAAAGGGACACCTTAATCTGGAATCTACTTGGTGGCACATAATTATTTTAATTATGAATTTTCTGGTCAGTGGACTCACTGTTGCATTTGGGTTTTCAGACATTCCTGGAAAACAGTTTAGGATTAGTTGTTAGTATTTACTATAAATTAGTGGTATAAATGAATTTACACAAAATCTCAGGAGTAGGGATAACTTTTACACTTGCAGCAGACGACTATATGTTTTTGTTGTGAATTACGTTTCTCACACTTTAATCGGGCTTGTTCCCAAGTTAGTATGTGTAAATTGCTGCCTTGGGGGAAAAAACAACCGCAGTGATTATTATCTTAAACTTGGAGTATTATAACCAGTTTGAGGTTTTTTGGAAGTCAGTTGACTGTGTCTGTATCCTATTTTACATATTTTTCCCCTCCTCATGTACATTGTGTATAATATAATGTACATAAACCTGTTACCTAAATCATGAATTCTATTTGCCTGAGGAGGCAATCCATGAAGGCTCACATAGAAATAAATCTGTTAATCTAAAAAGTTCCCCAATACTGTACATGCCTTTTGTTTTGGCTAAACATGCTGAAACAAACTAGCAGAGCTACACCTTTGAAGATCACACTACAGTATGTTGTCGTTCCGCAAGTAAGCTTAGAACCGGTTACCGTGCGAAGTAGATTCTGATACTGCAGATATTTTAAAATAACGCGAAAGAGATGAATGGCGCACATGTTTCTGTACCATATATTGTAGTCCAACAAAAGGGAGAAAAAAAAGGAAAGAAAAGGCCGTGTGATCCTGGTACACAATCCAATCCCGATCAGTCACAAACAAGCTAGCTTTCAAACTCCCACAGGTCTTCAACGGGCTGAGCATCACAGGGCTAAGGGTGCAAAAGAAACGTAAAGGTCTCCCCCTCCCTGCGCCGCCAAAAAGAAAGAGACAGCTTGCCTTAAACCGAAAAGGCTGACCCGCGCATTTGGCTATGAGTTTTTGGAACTTGAATGTTTCTTCTGCACCAACCCCACTCCTGCGAGGTCAAAATGTAACTTTCGTTAGTTTTCGGTTTTTAACTGGCCTCACCCCCGCGCCCATGCCTTCGCATTATTATTTATCGTCGATTTCTTCGAAAAAGCCACTCAGGACCCTGAGGCGCGAAGGCAAAAATTGCCCCCCCTTTCCCCCTTGCAGTCCCGAAAAGGGCGCCACGGCTTCGGCGCCCACCCGGACCTCTTCGCGGGTGCAAACGTCCTTTCGCCTCCAGCGCTGGAAGCGGCGGAACGTTTTCGGCGCGGCCACCCGGAAACGGAAGTCCCGGGGTTTCCATGGCGGCGGTAATGGTGGCCGAGGCTCCCGTGCTCTGGCGGCGATTGCTGGATTATTTGCCCCGGGGGAGACCTGTTTTGGCGGCGCTGCTTGGCCGGCTCTCGGACCGACTGACCCGGGGCCGCGAACGCCGGGCCCGCCGGTGAGAAGGGAGGGGAAAGGGCCGGGCTGCGCTGGGCTGGGCTGGGCTTCCCCCCACTGACGGCCACCGGGCAGTCTTGTGCGGACAGCTGGGGACGAGGGTGGGAGGCGGGGCCCTTTACTGTATAGCTTATCGTTTACTGACATATTGGGCCTTTCTAGTCAGAAGGGCTTGCTGCAAAAGTAGCCTGGGCCTTGGCCTCTAGGTAGTCGGGGAAGGTCCCGAGCACGAGAGACAGGAGAGGAGGGCAGTAGCGAGGAAGCCCTTTGCCATCCGCTCATGCAGGGGTTCTTTTGGACTGCGTCTCCCAGAAACCCCGACCAGAACAGCTGGCGGTGAAGGCTTCTGGGAACTGCAGTCCAAGAACACCTGGATGACCCAAGGTCGGGAATGACGGATCTAATCTAATTTGTAGAAGGGCGCGAGATCAACGGAAAGAGGAACAGTTAGATCTGTATCTGTAAGAGGGGAAGCAGAGACAGCAGGTCTGGCTTTTTAAAGACACCGAGACCTGTTGGTATTTTTGGAGGGTTGGGGGAAGGTATTTTAAAAGTTTTACATTCTGCTCCTATGAAGAGATACTTGGGGAGAGGTTAATAGAAAATACACTAATACGATTGATGTAACTTAAAAATAATATTTAAAGATGCAGGAGACCAAAATCCTTAACAAATGCAAACCTGGGCTTAGCAGATAATTGAATAGATTTGTACTATGGGTTAATTTGGCATTGAGAAAATTTTAGAACAGGTAGTTGTGTTTAATCTGTGCTAGCATTTCAGGGAAAAACAAAAGTAAAAAAAATAAAGAAAACAAAAACATTGAGACAACTTAAAGACTAACTGCTATATTTTAATGCGAGCTGTTATGATCAGAGATGGGGGTATTTGTATTCAAATAAGAATGCCCCTGCATAGCTGGATGTAATAAGGATCCGGCCCCTGGGGCTGGACTGTCCATTCAAACGTCTGGTGGTGGCAGCAGCCTCGATCAGCCTTCCAATTGCTCCCGGAGCCCTGCTCCCTTTCTGCTCATCTAGCCACTCAGCAGCTGTGCAGGGAGATTTGTCCTCCCTTTCCCTGCCTGGAGTTGGCAAGATGAGTGTAAAGAGAGTGGCTGCCACCAAAGGCTGGCCCCAGGGGCTGGAACCTTGTTAAGTCCAGCTGTGCAGGGGTATTCATACTCGTGTACAAATACCCCCATCTCTAGTTATGATATGAGGAAATGGATTTGTCCCTGAAAGCTCACATTAAAATATAGCAGTTAGTCTTTAAGGTACTGCAACATTTTGTCTTCCTAATTTTTTTTGTTTTTATTTTTTGTTTTTGCCTGATTAATTAGAGCAACACAAAGTATTGCCAATTCTACAATTTGTGCTGCTGGTACAGTTTTTATCCTATATCAGTGTTGTTTCCCTATCAGTGTTATTGCTAGTATGTGCTAGTAATTGTGAAAAATATGGGATATGTTTGTGCACCTTTAAAAATGTGCCTTGCATATTTTATTATGTATTAGAGATGAGCACAAATTAAAAATTGATTCACCAAATGTGTTCAAAAATTGCTAATTCATTGATTTGTATTTGTACGAATCAATGCCCCCAGCGAATATGAATCAATGAATTTTTAGTGACTTTTGATTTGTCGATTTGTTTGGCTATAAAGCAACCCCCCCGCCCAGGCACCTAGAGACACAAACATTGCATGGAAGCTACCTCAGACTCTCCTTTATAATCTCTTCAAATTTAATAATGATTGGCTTTCAGATGTCCGAGTTATTTTATTTATTGAATTTCTTTCCCACCCATTTAGACCAAAGTCTACACTGGGTAGGGGTGTGGTGGCACTGCGGGTTAAACCACAGAATCCTCTGTGCTGCAAGGTCGGAAGACCAACAGTCGTAAGATAGAATCCACACGACGGAGTGAGCTTCTGTCGCTTGTCCCAGCTCCTGCCAACCGAGCAGTTTGAAAGCATGTAAAAATGCAAGTAGATAAATAGGTACCACCACGGTGGGAAAGTGATGTCGTTCTGTGTCTAGTCGCGCTGGCCACATGACCACAGGTGCTTGAGGACTGTTTTATAGGGTTTAAAAATAAAATGTGAATTGATGACTCGATTTATCAGAAAAAAATGATAAATTCATGATTCGTCAATCTTGACGAATCACATATAAAAATAAATCACAATTTTTCTGATTTGTGCCCATCTGTACTATATATGTGTTTGAACATGGTGTGATATGCTGACATCATTACTGGGCACATTTTGCAGGGAGTATTACTGCTTACATATGTAGCAGTTGCTGGAGGATCTTATATGCTTGAGCTTTTTTTGGAAAATATAATATTTTTATGGGAACCAAGATTTTATTTTCTTGTTACAGTGCTCAGAGTTTGAAATACCCTAGATTTTTAGTGAACAAAATTCCATTGCTGCAATTATTTCCCTGATCTAAGTTCAGTCCTGAATTCAAAATAGATATTGTGGAACATTAAGTTTGGTTTTGCTGCTTGAATTTGTGGGTTGTTGAATTGATAAAGGAGTAAAGCGAAGTAGAGCATTTGCTGGTGGTAATACTTTGATTAGGATTCCCATTGTGGTGTAGTGGATAGAATAATGGGCTAGGGACTCTGGAGAACAGGGGTTGAATCCCTGTTGCCTCTGGAGACTCACTGGGGGAGTGGAACTGGTAAAACTGCTCCTTAAATACTTTACTTACCTTGAAAGCCCTTGTAGGGTCATGATATGTCAGTTCCAACTTGATGGTACAGAGGACACACACACACACACACACAATACTTTTACTAGGATCAATGGCAATTGCACAGAATATGTATATTAATCCTAATAAGTTCATTGCCAATCTGCAGATTTTGGAGTTTTATTTCTGTTTTATTTTTATAAATAAATATGGCCTTTCCCTTTTTCAAATTGGTAAGGGTAATATATAGTTAGCACATATCTGAGAGAATTGTTTCCTCCAGCTGCAATAGGAACGGCATAATGTCAGTTCTGAATGGAGGAAGTGGAACTCTCCTTTGGCTATGAGGCCAGGAACAGCAACCTTTTTCCTTCTAGTCTTGAAAAGAATGTGGAAAGTCCTCTGAGGCAGAGAGTTGAAATCTTTTCACAAAAGACAACTAGCTTTCATGGCATCTGTACTAGATCCACGTACATCTTTCATGCTTAACTCTTGTTCCTAGCAGTATTTTTTTTAAACTAAAAAAAGACTTGCTTTGCTTGCTTTCTTTATTCAAGAGTAAATTTTTGAGTTTTGATCCTTCAACATTTTAAAGTCTCCTGTTATAAGTCCGATAGATGTAAAAATTGAAAAATTGTAATTCCCCCCCAAAAAAAAAACCAAAAAGGGACATGGTGGCACTGCTTGTTAAACCACAGAAGCCTCTGTGCTGTAAGGTCTGTAGAACTTCAGCTGTAAGATCGAATTCACGTGACAGAGTGAGCGCCCATCCCTTGTCCCAGCTCCCGCCAACCTAGTGATTCGAAAGCATGCAAATGCGAGTAGATAAATAGGGACTACCTCTGTGGGAAGGTAACAGCGTTCCATGTCTAAGTCGCACTAGCCATGTGACCACAGAAGATTGTCTTTGGACAAAACGCTGGCTCTGTGGCTTGGAAATGGGGATGAGCACCGCCCCCTAGAGTCGAACACAACTGGACAAAAATTGTCAAGGGGAACCTTTACCTTTACCCACCAAAAACAGCAGTTTTCATTACCAAAGTCTGTGGCTGCCTAAAAATTGCATTATGCATTCATAATGTTATTTTTTCTTTGTTTTTATTCTGAGAATAAGCGCATAATACACATCTCCATAAATTGTGGATAGTGTTCTTTCTGTTGTGGTGTTGCATTTGGACTTGTCCCCAGTTGTTCTGGAGTCACTTTTTTCTTATAGACTTGAATAGAATATCTAGTATTGGCATCCACACTTAAAGAGGGTATTTGTTGCAAGATTCACTAAGATGCACTGGGTCCTCCTGGTATTGCCTCTGCATAGATATCCAGATTGCCTCCTGAGATCTCAGCCCCAACACAAATTACAGTACTGCCACCTTTTACTTATTTCTCCTGTCCCCTCCCTGCCTACTTCACTCTCTCTTCTCCTTATTTTACTCACTCATCATTTTCAAACCTTTGCATTTTGGCTACAGTGCTTCCTGATTTAATTCTAATGTTATTTAATTTTTTATTTGTAATTTGCACTTTTGTGTTTTGGCGCAGAAGTGATTTTTTAAAAATAAAAGAGCAGAAGACAGAAGCAGCTAATGTCTTTTCTGCTGTCTCCCTGTCTACCTCGCTCTCTCTTCCCTTCCCTGTTTTCAAATCTTCAAGTCCTCCCCACATGTTTTCTGATTTTATTTTATTTTTTAAATTGTTTTTCCTTTTGGTGCAAAAGTGATAACATTAGAAAAAACAGAATACAAACAGTTCAATTCTTGGGAAGATGAAAAAGGAGTGGTAGTAAGGCATGTAGTTATAGAGACTGACCAGCAATAAAATGCTGATGAGGAAGTATCATCAAATGGCACACACTTTTGAAATGCATGGATCAAGAAGCCTCTGTGTGGTATTGTGGTCTTCATGAACAGATCATGTACTGGAGGGAACTGAAGCAAAGCAGAACTAAAATTCAGCACCTGGAAAACAAAATTTTATTTTCTCTTGCTTTATTTATTTTTATTTATTTATTTGATTTTTATCCTGCCCATCTGGCTACTAAGGCCACTCTGGGTGGTCTACAAGTACTACCATTATAAAACAACAATACAAAGAATAACCGATGAGCAGCTTAAAACAAAATGCAACAGTAATGAAAATAAAATAATTTAAATAATAAAAGGCATGGTAGTGGGTTGAAGGTGTAGTTGTTAAATGTACCACTGTATCAAGATATTCTAACTTCCTGGAAGGCTTGTCTAAACAGCCATGTTTTTAGTAGTCTTTTGAAAGTTCCCAGTGAAGGGGCCAGGCGAATT